CCCAATCAAGATGTGTCATGTTGGTTTAGATAGCTGTTACTTGAAAGAGAGGAGGAAAAAAAAAAAGGAAAATAACATTTTGTGTGTCTTCCCCTTTCTTTCATCTCCCCCCTCCCTCCTGCTGTGGAAGATGAACTCTTGTGGGCAGTTTGGTCACTTTAGCCCTGAGCTGCAGCCTCACCTTTTTATTTTTCAATATTTGAATAATAAAGAAAAAAAGGCTATTTTTTTGCTTGTTTGTTGGGGTTTTTTTGTTTCTCTAGCAAGAGACTTCAGATAGCTCAGTGTGTCCTGGAACCTCCTTTGCATCATTAGAGGCAAAAACTATGTAGCGGTTTCTTAAATAAAAGTATAAGCTCTGTCTTATACCTCTCTCTGCCCTGAGCCACCCTGCCCAGGAAAGTCAGAGCTACTGGATGGAAACATCACCTGTCCCTCCCCACTTTTTTTAAAACAAGAGCCTGGAGGCAACTCCTGGTCTTTCTTGTCCCACACCAGCGTGGTGATTGTTTTAGGAATTTCATTTTTTTTAGCCCTTCTTCCACCTAATAAAGATCTAAGCGTATCGCTAGTGTTGTGTCTGCATTTTCAAAGGCTCCAGGAGCGGTATGCTTTTGCTGCCTGTCCCTTTCCATCTGTTCCTGCTGGGAGTAAAAAGCAGCAGATGGGTCTGCAGGGGATGCCAAATACCATAACAAAGGTGAGTGCGCCTTGGTGCTGAGAGCTCGCAGCCACCTGCAGCAGGGATGGGACTGACTCCTTCCATAAGCATCAAGTCAATGACTTTGGTGTCCTCCAGCATTGTCCTCTGAGTCCCTGCAGCACAGCTGGGATAAGTAAGGAAGGAGCACAGCTGCAGCACTGCCCTTCCTTGCTTTGCCCATGAGGTCTGCGGCTTCCACCAGGAGGAAGGGGATGGCTCCTGAGGGATTGCTCCTGCCAACACAGGAGTGTTGGTGCCAGCGCCCAGCAGCCCCCTGAGCCTGAGCTGCAACAGCAGCTGCAAGGGAGACTTCCTTGCAAGGACTTCAGCCAGCGTTTCTTTGCTGTTCCTGGCTGCTCAACTTCCATCCTCAGTAGTGGCTGTGAGCACATAAGGGTAGTGCTTACACTGCTGGAAGCAATGGGTTTCCAATAATCTTATAGATATTTATGTATAGGCATTGATACTGGAGCAGCACTGAACCTGTGAATAGCTGTTATTCAAAGCTTTACTAACCCCTGCAAATAAATCAGCTTAATTAACAGGGAAGTAACAGTACAGTGTATTTTCATTTCATTTTTTTATTAGTAGACAGATGCGCAGAAAAGACAAAATATAGCTACTGAAGGGGAAGACAACACAAAAATGCATCAGTTAATTCTTTCTCGTAAATTATACTGAAGAAAAAAGGAAAACAACTGGGATTTTAGCTAAGGAAACTAAGAAATCTAGTGGACCCTGCTGGCTTCAGAATAGTTGAAAAACTGCATTTGGTTGTAAGTGCTCATATTGGCTGAGACAGAAGAAAAAGGTTAAGGGAAAAAACAGAATATCCAGATCAGATATACATTTTTCCACAATTTCTTAAATAGTTTCAAAAAAAAAAACAACCAAACCAACCCTCATATCACAGTTTGCATGTCAAAAAAGGTAACCAGCAAGTCAACAAGCAATGACACTGCACAGGACAGTGGGAAAGAGAAATTAGTCTGGTTAATGTAGGAGCTCTCAAAATAGGGTGCTTTTTGTCTTTAAAAAAAAAAAAAAAGGATAACAGGAGAGTCATGGTAATGCATCTTACAACACCAAGCTTGAAAATACAAGTCACTGGAGAGTATACAGTGAAGACGGTCAAAAGTACAAAGGAAATCCTGAAAGATGCAGTATCATTTCAAACCAAGTCATCAGCATAGCCAGCATTGCCATACTTTGCTGCTTCACTCCCCAACAACCTCTTGAAAGCTGGAGGCTGGCATCCCAGTGTGACCCTGAGACCAGTCCTGCAGCCAGGAGCCCATTTTCCAACACTGGCACTGCCAGCACAGGGCTAGAGTGAAGCTGGGGTGGGGGTGGGGTTGTGCCCCACACCATCACTAGATACAAGGGAGCCCTGCTACCAGCTCCAAAAAGCACTAGGGACTGAGTCACTCTTTGCTGGAAGGATGAGCTGAAGGAGCCCACTTCAGGAGGGGTCCAGCTGCCTCCCCAGGTAACATGCAAGCAGGAGGGCAGACCATCAAAGGGAGCACTGGGAGACAAGGTACCACCATTTAGGCTGCCTTGAGTCCCCAGGGGGCAGAGGGATGCACCACCAGCACACCCTGGGGCAGAGGAGCAGGGACTGGCCTTGTTGATCCCAGCCAACCAACATTTTGAAAACACATCTGCCTTGCTCAGTTCAAACAGAGCCCCACCAGCCTTCCTCCCCTCCCCAAGGGCTACCTTCCCCTCCTCTCCCTCCAGGCAGCACACTGAGCTTGCTTCACTCATCCTGCTCCTCACCCCAGGACATAGCCCCTGAGCAGATCGCAGAACAAAGTTTACTCCCACCAAAGCACCCCTAGAAGGACCACAGCTGGTGCCGTACCATTGAAACCCTGAGAGAGGTGAAGGGGAGACATAAACAAATACCCAAGGCTGCAGCTGTTACCAGGGTACCTGTCTCTGTACCTATGGGAATGGAGGGTCTCACCCAAGCAGGGCCAGCACTTCAGAGCTGCTCCTGGAGGTGCCAGGGCTCAGCAAAGGAGGGCAGGACTAGCTGTGGATCAAGGGATCACACAAAAGGTGAACTCAGGCCACTGCACTGCAGCCCCACAAGCACACACTGCAATGGGATGAGGGTGCTGAGGGACTGAGGAAGAGGGTTCTGCAGGCACAAGCATGCAGGATCCCCCTACCCACGCCCTAAGCTCTAAGAGCTCCAAAAACCAAAAACCATGCCAGAGGCTGAGCTTGGTGCAGCTGCTAAATAGCCTGTCAAACCCTGCCCCTGGACTTCTCTTCCAGCCTGAAAGCACTGCAGCCCCCTCACCTGTGGGACTGCACTCTCACCCATGCCCCAGCCAACCAGGCAGGGGAGAGCCCAACATGCATCAATTCTCTCTGCCCCTTGCCCCAGCAGCCACAGCGACAGCCTGGCCACCCCAGGTAGACACCAAATGCCAACCCCACAGAACTACAGTGGGGCTGCATTTAGCAACATGTGACCTACATAAGCAATAGAAAGGAAGCTCAGGTCAGCACTGAACTAGGGCTGCAGGAAGCAAGGGCTGCTAGCAAGCACTGGGGCAGGAGGCTATCAGTCTCTCCCACTGCCAAAAAACAAGTTCAGGATGAATACTGGCCCACTGGGCAGCAGGATGCACGCCTGTTTTCCTCCCTTGGGGAGAGGCAGCAGATCTCAGCAGCATGACTAAAATGAACTTTTTCAACCCCGATGTAGTCTGAAAAAAAAAAAGCAACCCAGGGTTCAGTTGTATAGACATGAAGTGTTAAGTTTTTATTTTAGGGTTCATATCACAAGCCTTTTTCAGAGACAAAGCTGATTGTGCCCTCTGGGGCTCCAGGGGGCCAGCTATTTCTTAACTTGAGCAGGCTGAAAAGGAATACTCTACCTTTCAGTGACATCCCATCAAGCTCAACACACAGTAGCTTTACACTCTCTGCCCCATACCTTATAAAGGAAAAGCCACCACCACAAGGCTAAACAAATGTACACACACTATTATTGTAAATGGAGCAGCTAAACCTTGGCAATTTGCTTTGTGTGGGTTTTTTTTTCTTCCCAGTAAACACAGCACTTGAACTCCTGAAAACCCAGCTTCCAATGGGTTTGTTCCAGCTTTAAATACATTAAACATCTCAATGCAAGACTGCATTTAATTCAAGATTCTAAACATGAGCAAACCTGTTTCGCTGTGAGCATTTCATAGAGAAGTGAAAAAGAGAGTTTCTTTTTTAAAAAGAAATCATAATACAGTAATGAAAGGGTTAAGAATGCAAGAATTCAGACATTCTGTGGAGGGTCTCTAAGCGGTCCATAAAAAAGGAGCAAGCAGATCCATACAACAGGAGACAGCAGGGTTTTTTTATATCCCCCCCCTTTTTTTGCTGGTCTGCTGCTAGGTTACCACTGCTCCCTTCTGGCCTGAGTCGGCGGGGCAGTACAGGGGCATAGAGGGAGCAGGTCACGACTCCTCATTGCCAGAATCATCGTCATCGTAACAGTCAGCATCCTCTTCCTCCTCGTCTTCATCATCAATATCGTCATCATACAAGTCATCATAAAGCAAATCTGAACTGTTGTCATTGGAAGGCACTTTAGTTTTGATGCAGTATTCTGCCAGCGTAGTGGGGACCTTCACACCATCCTTCTCTGCCTCAGCTTTGGTAGCCAAAACCTGTTTCCTGCATGGAGGAGGACACAGCAAAGTGAGCAGGGCCAGGTACTGGCAGCAGCATGGCTCAACTCCCCACATCCCAGCCAGCCCCAGCACAGCCCTCCTGACAGCTCAGAGTCAGAAGAGCTGATGTTTTGCTGAAGCACCACAAGCAGCACTAGAAACAGATTTAGTTCCCATGACCCCAGGCTTGGGAGAACTCCAAGGGTGTTTGCAGCACACACACTCTCAGCAACGTATGAAATTCTATGGGCCTCCACATTAGAGACCTGCCAGAGCTCAGAGCAAGTTTTGTTACATTTGTTACAGAAGGGATGTTCAGGGATTTCCTAAGATGACTTATTGAGGTGGGTTCAGAGATGCCATCCACAGCCACCCTCTACCATGACTCTACTCCAGCATGGTCAAAACTGCAATTCACACAAGTATTTGGCAGCTCTGAGCTCCCACTGGATGGTAAGAGCAGTCTGAGCATGTGGCTGCACCCCAAGATACAGCCGCAACCCCAGCACTGCCTGGGGATAGCAGGAAACAAGTGTTTTCCATCATCCCAGGATAGGCTCTGGCTGCTGCCTCCCAGCAGCACTTGGGCTGTGAACTGTTGATGGCCTCTGTTGCCACCCAGCAGGGAGAGGAACAGATGGCAGCCTGTCCCTTCACCCCCACCCACCTACACATTGGTCTGCCATACTCTGTTTATGGAGTACACCCAGCTCTGCTGAAGCCAATGGAGCTGGAGGGGACTAAGATAACCTCCCAGTGAGACTCTTCACACAACTCAGGCCAGCAACTGACTGCCCTTCATATCTCCAACCAGGGGTATACCCTGTACACCCAGCTAGCAGAGTCAATGCAGATGTAGTCTTTCTCCAGGCAAGCATGACAGTGGTCCCACTGCAGTATGGGCTGCCTATCCACCATTTGAGCCAGCAAGCCTGGCTCAAGTTTACATCATCTCCCTACAGTACCTGATGAACCATGAACTTCTCAAAGGATAGTCAAGACTGAACAGTGCTTCCAGCTAATCAAACCCAGCTTTGCAGTCACTAGCCAAATCCTGCTGATATTCCTTCAAATCAGAGGGACAAGATTATGATTCACGAGTGCATTAAGCACAGAATTAGTAGGATGCAGTCAGTTTGAATCACATCCTGAGCAATGCAAGCAGTGCTCAAAGGCAAGCGAGGAATTTGACTGGTATTTACTAGCAGCCAATAGGTTTTGCAGACCATCATGCCAGAATAGTCTAAAGCAATTCTAGAACAATTCAAAGACAGATCAGCCCAGTCCTCCTGCTGCAGAAGTTTGCACCACTTCTATGTGCTGAAAATCCTAGAGAGACCAGAAGCATGGACTTGGAATCACAGAATCATAGAATGGTTTAGGTTGGAAGGGACCTTGAAGATCATCAAGTTCCAACCCCCCTGCATAGGCAGGGACACCTCCCACTAGCCCAGGTTGCTCAAAGCCTCATCCAACCTGGCCTTGAACACCTCCAGGGATGGGGCCTCAACAACCTCTCTGGGCAACCTGTTCCAGTACCTTACCAGCCTCACAGTGAAATTTTTTTTCCTAATGTCTAAGCTAAATCTACCCTCTTCCAGTTTAAAGCCATTCCTCCTTGTCCTATCACTACGTGCCCTAGTAAAAAGTCCTTCCCCATCTCTCCTGTAGGCCCCCTTTAGGTACTGGAAGGCTGCTATACGGTCTCCCCAGAGCCTTCTCTTCTTCAGGCAGAACAAACCCAACTCTCTCAGCCTCTCCTCATAGGAGGTGCTCCTAAGACTGTAAAATTCATTTCCAAAGGAGGAACCACAGTTAGAAGCTGGTTTCAGCAAATTCTGCAGCCTGTTTCATAGCATTTAAATCAGGAGGCTGGTAGCACAGCATCACACATGGCAAAGCTTACCTTATGATTTCAGCGTACTCCTTGTCCTTTCCTTTACTGTCCCTCCATTTCCTGAACATGACTGACGCATCCACGTTGGCAGGAGAGAATGTGTTGGGCTCGTTAAGCAAAGAGATTACACTCAGTAAGATAGTCCTGAAAAAGGTAAGCACAGCAGAGTCACAGCCAACACATTCATGGATTCTGGATGCTGACAACTTTTTTAGGTGATGCATCAGAAACGTCTTTAAAGCCAAAATTTAAGTTAAGGATAATTAAGGATAGCTAAGGATAATAGTTGAAGTGAGAGCAGATATTTATGAACTTCAGACCCTGGCCTTCGGCATAGGGAAGATGACACAATGCAAACCTCAAAGACCTAATCTGACAACAATCACGTCTGTGCACATGCTTGTGATGGGGCAGCAGACAAAGCTTGCATTAGACCAGAATTCAGCTTGTTCACACCACCCATGGATGGTGCAGGGTTGGAAGCCTACTTGGTGAGCCTGTTCCTCATGACATTCAGCCTCCCAGCAGAAAGCTGGGCTCTTTGCCTACCCTGTGTAGGGAGGACCACTATGATCCAAGGCCATCAGATGAGGCTGCACTGCCTTCCCTGTCCCACAGCATGTTAAGAGGTTGGAGCTGTGGCCAGGTCTCTCCTTTCTTCAGCCTGTGTGCCACTAAGGCACTCAAGCACAGCAAGGGGAAGACAGTGCAGATGTTTTTCAATACTCAAACAAGCCACCAAGGGCCCAGCAGGATTTGGCCACTGGTACTCAGCAAAGCCAGCATAAGCCAGTCCCATAACCCCTGGCAGACAGCTTTCCTGGATTTCTAGCAGCAGCACAGAGCTGCTAGCTGCCCCACTCTGCTGGCATTTACCACCTCCCTTGCCCAGACCCTTCTGCATTTCCTACAACCCTTTGCACTTCAGAGATTCAGCCCTCCACTGCTCACACAGTGCCACAACCAGCACAAAACTCAACAGCAAGTCCCATCAGGCAGCTCTACACACCCAGCCACCTGGTTGTAGCTACTACTGCAATAGCTTCACATGTCCTGCTGGCAACAGCTTTCAATTTAAATGAAAGGGAAGAACAAGAGACAAGAAATAAGTCTTGAAATACAATAGTACATAGCAATTGCTTTGCAGAACTCCTCTCGCCGAGGAGACCAGCTCCAGTGCAGGTAAGTCCGCACTGGGGAAGGGGATCGGAGGCGA